TATGGTTTTTGGAAGAAAATGGCTTTTGAGAAAATGGTTTTTGGAAGTTCATTTCCCACCGTGTAGTAGCCGGCGAAAGGTGGAAAGTGTTATGGATTGGGTGCCCGTTATCCTGCCGTTGTAAGTCGGCAAAAGGTGGATTGTGTTGAGATATGTGTTGACAAGTGTGTTGAGTTGATGATGTTGTTTGTGACTTGTGATGAATCTGTGAAATTGCAGATTGATGTGTAATTTAGTATAAAGAGGGAATGTACATAGACATGATTTGTAAAGAATGGGATTGTGGATTGGTGATGGTGAACATAATGAATTAGTTATGGCAGTAAAAGTAATTACGAGTGTTGTTCTGTAAATAAACAAGAGATTGAATTAAAAGGGGTTTATTAATTTTGTGTTATCTTGAGATGAAATTTGAGAGTGTAAATAAACGGTGTGAATTGAGTTTAGGAGAATTGTTAGTGAACTAAAAAGGGAACTTGAACTTGAAGTTATGGGGTTCTAAATAAAAATAATGAGTAGAAAAGAAGAATGAAAGAAAAAAAAAAGAAAAAAAAGGAGGAATATTAAAAATGGGAGTTAAATAAGAAATATTTTGGGAATTGGTTAATAATTTGTAAATGATGTTGTTTCTCAAATATGTTTGCTTCACAAGGATCTATGGTTTTCTAAGGTTAAGGGATAATTTTTAATGGCTGAAGGTTTTTCTTAAAAGCATTTAAATAGTTTTTGAGAAAAAGGTACCTTACTTAAGATATTTTGAAATTATAAATGTCACCCTACTATATGATATCACCCTGCATGCATGATCATTTCTATCTGTGTGTTAGCTATGTAATTTCATTATAGATGTGAAAGAAATAAATATTGTACATGGATGTTTGTAACTATTTATTTGTAGCTCCGTAGTGGAAGCTCGACATTTATTATTGTTATTGTTGTATTCATAGAGAGAGAGAGAGAGAGAGAACTTGTATGATTGTATTTCTATTACTCAAGGGTAATAGATATTTGTTAAAAAAAAAAAAAAAAAAAAATTGGACCTAAATTAAAGGCCTTGGTAATGTTTTCGTGTAATTGAAATTTGGGGCGTGTCAGGTTTCGTGGTTTAATATTATTATCCATGTCTTGTTTTCCCTCATTTGCCTTTGAGATTGAGTATTGGACTGCCTTGGACATGTTCGGAGCAAGTTAGTTGCTAGTTGTTCAAGTTGTTGTTGTCCAAAAATTAGCTTCTTCGCTCGAACGAGGCTTCTTGCGCTCGAGCGAGCCTTATGAAATTTGCTTCTTCGCTCTAGCGAGGTTTCTTGCGCTCGAGCGAGCTTTGAGGGTTCCCAGTATTTTCCCCAAACCTACAAAACTTCTAGAAAGGTGGTGTTCTTCGCTCGAGCAAGGCTTCTTGCGCTCGAGCGACGGTGTGCGTCTGTAAAACTTCTAAGAGCATGTATTTTGCGCTCGAGCGACGCTTCTTGCGCTCGAGCAAGGTCGCTTGTTGTGTCTAGTCGCTCGAGCGACAACTCCTTCGCTCGAGTGAGGGTCGCGTATATCAGTTCGTAGTAGAGCAGTTTTATATCACTTTTTGATTTCCTTTTTGCTAAAAACCCTAATCCGGTGCTCTCTCTCTCTCTCTCTCTTTAAAATATACTCTGTCTCTACAAATACACCTAGATTTAAGCATCTCTCAAACCTAATCCCTTCGGTAAAGAGTTAGAGCATCTCAAGGGCTTTCCTTTGATCCAAGTCAAATCAATTTTGGGGCATTTTTGAAGTTCTCCTTCTTCTCCTTTGGGCTTCCACACTCGAGGTAGGGATATTCTACACTTTAATATGGTTTTTCACCTAGGTATTTGTTATTTTGTATAAATGGTGGAATTTGGGAGGATTTGGGTGAAGCTAGGGTTTGGGTTTTAAATTTGGAAGAGGGGTTTTCTACATTGGGCTCCATAAATATATATGGGGTATTGAATATGAGGTTACTTTAGTTAAAATGGTGAAATTTGGCTTCGGGGTTGATATTTGGAAAAAGGGGAAAGTTTGCCCCAAATTGTGTTGAACAATTATTTTGTACAAAATATGAAATTGGTATGAGAAATATGGAATTGAGTGGATCTATAAATGAATGGTGTAGTTGGAATTGTTAAACCACTCACCTATAGAAATTTGATAAATTATTTGTTGTAAAGATTGTTGTAGACACCCCATTTTTGACTGACCTTAAGACTCAGACGTCATCGATTGAGCGCTCGGTGATTGCGCATGTTGTGCTCGTTCTGAGGTTACGGAGTCTCGGCTGAGAGCCTTGCCTCTGGACTTCGGGACTCTTTTGTGCTTTGCCTCGGTTTATGAACCAGGTTATGTTTTCTCTTCCCGAAGGGAGGGAGAGGTCTCGTAGACCATCTCTCAGTGGCCGTAGGCTACTTTTCGTGGTCGTAGGCCACTGTTCCCGTTTGGAGACTAGTTTCTGGTTTTCGGAGCCGTCGGCCGTGCACCTCGGTTCGGGACCGCTTAACTTTCTTCGTTTCCTCTGGTTTTTGGTACACACCTTGTTTCCTCTCTCTAGAGGGACACCGTGGCCCGGGAGACCACCTTTGTGGTTGCACGCCACTTTCGGTGCTTAATAGTCAGTTTTTGGGGCCTCCGGCCGAGCGTTTTGACCCTCGAACCCTCGTTTTGCATCCGTCTTGGTTCATTTTTGGCATAGGCCTTGTTTTCATTGTTTGGAAGGTGGTACAAGGGTGGAAGACCACCTTTTTTTCTTGGAGACCACTTTTCCCCCGCCGGCCGGTTTCCTTGACAGGTAACTGGTCTCCCTCACTTTTGGGCTACAATTGCTGGTCTCTCACCATACCACTAGCTTGCATTCAGTTGGGAGACCACCAAATGGGGCTGCTGACCACTTTTTGTTGAGTTGACCCTTTTGAACTGGCTAGCTGACCACCTGAACTGGCTGGCTGACCACCTGAACTGGTCGGCCTCTTTCCTCTTGTCTTGTCTCAGTGAGTTGATTCGAACTGTGCCAGCTGGGAGGCACAGATTGGATCTTCCATACATGTGTATGGAGGATCTTCCACCTTGGTTTGAAGCTTCTTGGAGAAGCTTTAGTCCCTCTTGTCTATAAAGGAAGGCCTTCCCTTCCTTGTAGAGGGTTCATATTTTGTTTGAAGGCATACAACATATCTCTCCCTATATCTCTTCATTTTAGGGTTCAAAAGGGTCTAGTTCTTGCCCCTTTGCACACCATCTCCTAGCCTAACCCCTCCAACACCAACCTAAGCTTCTTGGAGGTCTTTTTTAGAGGTTGAGGAGCTACATTTTTGGTCCAGAAGCTGCTGGAGTTGCTCAGCTACAAGGGTAACATACTTTATCCCTTTTAAAGCTTTATTTTGATCCATTTCTTAGCCTTATTTGCAAGCATTTTTGAGCTTCGGTATAAAATGAAAAAAGTCTTATTTTGAGGTCCTTGACATGTTTGTTTAAGATCATTTTCTGTTGGGGGTCATCTATCCCCTTGCATGCTTCATTTTTCCTTATTTTGAGCCATGCATTATGGCCTTTGCATTGACCTTTGTTTGGCCTTCTAGCCACTGATTTCCAGTGGCTAGAATGTTGTTTTGAGTGCCAAAATCAGAGAGGGGTGACCCTCTCTCCCCTTGTTTTGTTTCCTAGTATATTTGGCCTAACAAAGGAGCCCTTATTTTCATGCTTCCAAGCCATGTTCCAGGCTATTTTTGGTGAGTTTTAGGACCTGCATAGGCTCTTTCCAGAGCTTGTTTTTCCATATTGGGTGTCCATCTTGCATGTGTAGAATAACCCTCTTCATAGCCTATCAAAGGAGCATGTCATTCTTGCATGCATTGACCATGTTTCAATGAGTTTTTGGGCTTTATTTGGCATGTCATACCTCTGAATTTTTCTGGTTTAGTGACCTCTTGAATGTTTCATATACTCGTAGTGTAAACCCTCTTCACTAGCTTGTATTGCATGCTATTTTGGTCTTTGATTCTAGCACTTTTTGGCCATGCCTTAAACTGATTTTGTGCATGTTTTGGACTTCCTT